ATCGTTTTCTCTATAGAGATGAGTTTCGCTGCATAGTAAGCTCTATTAATTGTCGCCTTGAGTGGTCGGACTCTGCTGATTACACCTGAATGTCAAGGATATATAAACATTGTTTTTGGGAGCTGACTGGATTGGCAGACGGCTTTGTTTGACATCTGCGTAACGCTTAGTGAATTTCAACGGATAATTGTTATGTAACAATATTTCAGTTAGGTGTTGTATTTCTTCTCCACTGGTGTCGGCTGTACATATACAGTGTTCACGTCTGAATGAACATTTAAACAGCATCTTTTTATACTGTAGTGGACAGAAACTATGGTAATTTAGATACTGTCCCGTCTATGTGGATTTTCTGTACACAGATCGTCTTATTGATCCATTTTGTCGGCTGGTTATGAGCACATCTAAAAATGACAAGCAATCACTATTCTCTTTTATGTACTTTAGCAATATGCTGTTTTGTACTGTATTGACCTGTCGGTTTATCGCAAATGTCTATTATGTCATCCACGTATCTCATATAAAAATAAACTTTTCCAATTATGTCCCCAGCTTGGTTCTCAGCATGCGACATGTATTGTTAATACATAAAAGCAGTAACTCTTTCAATTAAGATATGGTAAAAAGGAATTGTTAGGGATTGAGTCACATAAAATGTCATCCGTCTGTAAATAAAGAAAGAATTAACATCTAAGGAAAACATGGTTTTGTCCTTTATATGAACGTTATAAAGACATTCTATTAACTCAGCAGTATCTTTCAATGCAAACTTACAAAAGCTTCTTCTAAGGTGGTTCAATTTACTTAATGATATTTTCACCTCAGCCCTTCCTTTCCTTTCTGTCTTCCTTTCTTCTTAACCCACACCCTTATGCTATCTTTCTATCCCTTATCTGTGACCTTGACCTGTATTGTAATAATTCATGCCATCTTGCCTTCTATATAGATGTGTGTATGACGAGTACGTGTGTGATCAGAATGTCGGGAATGTGTTGAGCAAATACACTGCCCCTTTCAGAAGAACTACGTTTTCTTATTGTTTTGTCGAAATTCATAAAGGGAACTAATTACTTTAAAATGAGTAAGCTGAATGATGTAACTTAGCTCACAGGTTTTGAACAGACCTAATGTAAAGCTGAAAGAGCGTTACGATCTCTGTTATAAGGAGCAGAAACGTATTAGTGGGAAAGGGGTAAAAATAATAATATTATATTGAAAACCGAAATGACTGAAAATCATGTATCGAGTACTGAGATAAATGAGCTCCACTATAAGTTCAGTGACTGGACAAACTTCTTTACTCAAAGTTCGGGATTTACCATGATAAAAAGGCACAAAAAATTTTTTTTTTAATATAAACACATAAGTTTTTGACCAATCAGATACTGGTAAACTTTGTCCTTGAAAATTGGAAGAGGGAATATAAGAAAAAAGGATTTTAAAAATTTAAAAAAAAAGGGAAAAAAAATAAAACAAACTTTTTTTTTTACTTTATTTATTTACCATGATGACTGCCATAACTTCTACAGTTTGAGTAAGCTTAATCCATACTTATTTGGCAAGATTTGCACGTACGCCGTAGACGACTCTGAAGTTGGTTTGTAAGTTCGCTTGATATTCAAGATTGATCAGGTTTTCCAAGATAGTACTTCGGAGAGATATGTTTTCTACTCTGTTAAACAATGAAGGTAAATTGCTTACAGTATTTCATCATGAGCTGATATTGGTTAGAGAACCATTGAAAAACCTGCAGGGAATACTGGACAGCTGTTTCATCCTAGTTTGGGACTCTTCAGCAGTACGCATCCACCGGGGTTCAGACCCAGGACCTACTAGTTACAAGGTAGGTAGGGTTCTAGTGGGAAGCCTTGACCAGTAGGATGCAGCAGATCGGGTGTGAGGACGATTATTAGCCGAAAACATTGCCTAGTAGTCACGCTACGTCGTGAATTGTTTCTGTCTGTCTGTTTTCGACATAGAACTTTGCACAAATGTGCGGAAGTTCAAGTCGCCACACTCCGTGTAGCAGAAGTTGGAATTCATGGGCCATTGGATCGGGTCCCAGTGGCTCAGTGGTCTACGAGATCGTCTTGTAACCAGAAGGTCCTGGGTTCGAACCATAGCGTTGAGTGCATTTTGATGAAGAGTCCCAAAGAGCTAGGACGAGACAGCTGTCCACTACTCCCAGCTTTCCCGGTGGTTGTCTAACTGATGTCAGCTCATCATGAAATCCTGTAAGCAATCAACCAAATCCCTATAAATCAACACTTGAATGAAGGTAAATATTTGACTATACGCTTGAGTACAATCAACAAACCTAGCTCTATAGGAGCAGTTGAATTAATAGATATACATTGACGAGGCCAGTGGTGGTAAGGTGCTCATCCAAATCGTTGGTTTTGTAGATACAGTAAGTTGAAGTTCAGGATTTTCTTAATGAACAGCACAAACAGTTTCTTAGCATTTCTGCTTATGAGTCTCCACTGAATTGCAAATTCAGATAGAGAAGGTTTTAGGGACATAAAATGTATGTGGTTTCGATGGTCTGGACTTCATGGATTTTGTGATGGAGCATCCAGGTTAGCCTTTTTCAATGTGTATCCTTTTTAGAACACTCACCTCCTCCTTCATGGCGTATCGACTATTGAAAATTAATTGAAACGACAAATTCCCCATTTCTAGACACTGTTGCAGCTTTCGACCACTCCTCGTTGATTCAGTATTATTTATTAGCTTCAAGCATGTTTAAGGTTCTTTATCATTTTAATGGAGGAGAATATATTCAAATCGTGGAAAATACCCATTGGAACATTAGATTGAAAAGAACAAGAAGTTCAGCAAAGATATCTTTTCTGCGATTTCATTCTCGAAAGCTGTAGAGTCGCATTTATATAGATTAGTTCACATGGATACAATTATTATTATTTGTTTAATTCCACATAGTAACGAAGGTGATAATAATTTTCAACTTGATATGAAAGTTTGAAGGTAGGAATATAGATTGCAAGGGGCTTGGAGACAAGATTCCATAGGATTAGAAAACAGTTACAACGTATGCAAAATTAGTATTTGATAACTGGAGAATTAAATTTAAAGGCGAATAAAAGGTGATAATTGTTTTCAACTTGATATGAATTACAATATATTCACTCTTATTTTGACTCCACTGTGTTCTTGTAGATCAAATGGTTTTTTAATTTATAGTCAAATTTTTATTTTATACAGTTGAAATCCAAAGAATATTCCAAACAACACACACTGATATGATGGAGGCGATTTGTAGCTCAGGTGGATGATTTGGATAGTTAATTTGCGAAGCTTTCATCGCCCTACTAGGCGACATCTTCAGCACATACTTCAAAAACACATACTGATTCTTAGCTAAGTGCCTCCACTGAATAATATTTCCTTTTATAATCAAGTGGTTTGAACTGACTCGTCTATCTGATCTGAGTCACACGGGGTCTACTGGTAATGAGTTCTACTCCAAGCTAGCAAAACTGTGTTCAAATCCTTTCAATCTGAGTACTAAGCACTACTCGTTGATGCGAGTGGTATACAACTACTCATTTCAACCAATCAGTAGTAACTAGCATCATGCATCTCTGCTTTCCCCCTTGATTACCACTTATGGAATCAAATAGGTCACTTCTGGTGTGACCTGAATACTTCCGGTTTTCAAAGTGAACTGTGGTGAAACTTCACCTCGAATTATGTAAATTGCAATTCGTGAATGTGACTTTTCATTATTGACTTTGATAAAATTCTTTTGAGTATCCCATGTCATTCATCATAGTATATTAACAGCGATACTTCCAGAGTGTTTATGCATTAGATAAGTTCCTCTTAAGTTTTTACTTCCAATGCCCTCAAGTAAAAAAGTTCATGCAGTGAAATTTAGAAGATTTATCATAGACTTATGTTTGCCATAAATTTGTTTGTGAATATTTTCTTAATTGTGTTAGGTACACCATGACACCAAGTAAAAAGAGACGATTTTCCTTGACTTTATATGAAACGACATCTAGAAATGTTCTCATGCAGAATAGTGACTATCATCTTTGGTAAGGCTGTTCATGAGAAGCATAAGATAAATGGCAATTATACAGTAATGTATAGCTTCGTCTTTTAATCTTGTAGTTAAAGATAAATTATCACTATTGACACCAGACAGACGTTAGTTACAACGCTCCACAAAGTGAGAAAAAGACGACATTTCATCAAATTGATTGTGATCTTCAAATGTTAGTTTACAGAGATTTGATTGGTTACAGGATTTCATCATGGGCTGACATTGGTTAGAGAACCATTGGAAAACCTGCAGGGAGTACTGGACAGCTGATTCGTCCTAGTTTGGGGCTCTCGCCTTGTAACCAGAAGGTCCTGGGTTAGAACCCTGGCGGTGGGTGCGTACTGATGAAGAATCCCAAAGAGCTAGGACGAAACAGATGTCCAGTACTCCCTGCAGGTTTTCCAGTGGTTCTCTAACTGATGTCAGCTCATGATTGTAATCCTATTGAACAGATTCAAAGCATGCCGTAGAGACCTTGAGTTTCATGCAATACAGATGAGCACTACTGAAGGTAGCCACAATGTAAAACAAAACAGATATTTTAAAATGCTGTCTGTCTTTATTTACTTTCCTAATATTTATTTTAAAATTATGTATGCGAAATGAGCTCACATTGTTCTATTCTTTAAAATGCCACTATTTTTTGATTCCATCATGTTTGGCATTTGGTTAAGTTAATCTCCTATGGTACAAGAAATTTTCTTTTTCGGCACTTCACGGGTAGAATGCTCTCCGTCTACACGTACTCCTGAATTGAGGTGGTAAAGATGTGAGGCTAGTAACCCACCACCCCATTGTGAAGAACACCAACAACGGGACTAAAACTTCAATGCTTGAAGCCCTATATTTCACACAGAATACAAGTGGATGAATAAAATAGTGGTACAAGAAAAAATGTTATATTTTATAAGAAAGCCGCCAATGTTTGTATATATATATACAAATAAGTTGTGATGTCTTCTGTATTATTTGGATTGTCATATTGTAGTATTCATTACTTCTAACAGCTAACCAATCGTATAATATTTTCTTTAATTACTAAAGACTGATGTAATGATCTGCCATCTGTGTAATTACCACCAGAACTAAAGCAAAAATTACTGAAGAAGCAGACAGAAATAACAAAAAAAGGAAAATAATAATTATAATAATGATAACATTTTATAATATTCCACTCTGATGTTGACGACTAGTTCTTGGTTTCTTTAAACTACTATGACCAAACAACCTCGATGTTTTTAACGGTTTTGTAATCACTGTTCTCTTAGCCGCATTATTAGTGTTGTAACAATTTTGATGACAATTATCACTGAGAAGTGTATTATTATTATTATTAGTCTCTGTCAGTATCACAGAAGGTTGAATGTGTTTAAAAGATGTAGAAGGTAAAGTTGTTGTTGTCGATGATGGTGATGTGAAATAATCGAATGGTGTAATATGGTGATAGGATGAAGTAGCGGTATTCGTATAACAGGAAGAGAATGTATATGATGTTGTTCCAGATGACGAGATTTTTGTCGGCAGTGTTGAAAATGTATGATTTCTTTGTACATATTCTTTATTTATATCAACTCTAGAATGTATACAGTCACTGATAACATGTATATTTCGAATAGGATCAAAAATAATTGGTATGTTTTTCAAATTGGCTGCTTTTAATGCTGCTGCTGCTGCTGATGATTGATGATAATGATGTCTGTTGCCTATCATCTGTTAGTGCATAGTCATACATTGCAGTTTTATTCAACATTTCACTAGGATGATAATCATAAAAATAGCGTTGTGTTGTTGCATAACTCTGTCTCGCTTGATCATTCACTGAATCATTAGCATTTTCATTTTTGATATTAGTACTACTTTGTTCACATAGATATATCATATTTACATCGGAAGTAGTGAGACAACTTCCATGATTTTGATAACATTCTTGATTGTTACTATTATTTGAATGACGATGGTGACAATGGTGACTTTGCTGATGATGTTCATCACAGCTGCAATGTGATGCTTCGTGATAATATATAGGATAAGGAGGATAGAGATGATGCTGGTTGTGGTGTGGAGGACCAGGAGGAGGAAGCGGCGGATGACTGTACAGTAAATCAAGCATATCTTTAACTTTATTATACAAATTATACTGTTTCAAATAGTCTTTTTTACCCATTAAATAACCGCATATTAGGCTGAGTGGTATGAATATTATAAAAACTGATAATACAAGAATAATAATGAATACATAATTATGCAATAGCTTATTATTGTTGTTATTAACATTATTATCAAAGTGACTAATGTTGTCATCCTTTTCACTGTCATTACTTTGATTACTGGCCACTTTTGTATTTATCATCGGTAAGGTCGACTGATCAACTTGGATTAATCCTAATTCATTATTGTAGAATTTGAATTTTTTAACTTGTCTTTTTGAAGAAATATTTCCGCCACTGTGGTGGGATTCATCTAAAATAGTAATAATAACTTCTTGGTGAGTTGGTACAAATAAAAATCTGACATGAATTATCAAAGTGTTTAGAAATAGAGAACGAAAAATGAATGTTATTTTTATTTATTTATTTGAATCAAGAAGTCCATTCTACAGTGTACGACTGACTAACTCCTTCTTGAATTGAACATCTAAAGACTTTTTCGACGTGACAGTTGATTGTAGAGAGAAGGTAAGGTAAGGCACATTACATCATCAGTAAATCACCATCATCCCTTTATATTGCCGGATGCTTCCATTTGTTTGCATCCATGGTGTACTCTACTCATAGATTACAACAGCTAATGGCATAAGACAAAATGCTAATCTAATTGAATTCGAGATTTTCCCGTCGATTGATTGGACTGAAGTGCTGGGGAAATGCAGGCACATCCAGTTGACGAGTCCCAAACAGGACGAAACGCGCATCCTGGATTCCACTGCTAGTCACCATCCACCAGTTAAAATGCTAATCTGATCAAATACATTTCAACGTATCTAAACTTCACCTCACTCCTTTTTTATGCTTTTGAATGGTGTAGAACTATGCCCTTGTCTCTTTTTCTGAGAGCAAATATCATTCATAAAAATATGCTTGATCTGTCTGTCAGTTAGTCATACTTTTATGAAATTTTCTAAATATATTGGTATCAAGTGAAGGAGTTTAACAATGTGAGTTGTTAAATTTTTTGCCGCCGTACCTGATAGACAATATGTTTGTCGAGAAGCTTAATCGTCTTGACTCAATCCTTTACTCCTAAAGGAACTTAGCCGAACTTACACAGGTGTTCATTATTCTGTGCAACCTGGTGAATAAACCGCCAAAAGAGCTGATAATTCAAAAACATAAAGTTGACTTTTGAAAATTATCACTATTTAGAGGGGTTGAGTTAATCAGAAATCTGTTTCATTTATCATAGATCAGCACCATTTTCCAAATTATTGAATTCAAAGAAGGTTATTAAGTGATGTATACTTATAGGACAGGTATTTTGTGTTCATAGACGCAGAACAAAATTCATTGGTCATTTATTCGAAATTTCATGCCTTATTGTGATGACTGACTGACTGACGAATTAGCATTGAGATTGGCACAAAATTACATCATACCAGTGTTTGTCAAACCATTGGTCAGTGACTTGGTATATTCATTCAGAGTTCGGTCTGATACTCAGTAATACTTTCCTAATGTGCTTTTATTTCAGTGAACATTGCTGGTAGAAGAACTCAACATGTGTAATATATCTTCTCACCACATCTATCGATGTAGCTTTACAGCATCATTGATTAACTTTTTCAACCTACCTAACACTCTGATTCTAACGACAACGTTGCTTATCATGATACTCTACCAAACAGCAACAAGTGAAAAACGTTAATTATGTTCAAACGCCGTCAGCATTTGCACGTCTACTGTCGGTGGTCATATCTCAGGGCCATAAACAAGAACAAGACGGATTACTGAATAGTACAAACGTTTCTTGGTGGGGAGCTGAGTTTCATATCGACAACAAAGAAGGAACACGTTGACAAATGCCAGTGAAGAGGGGGAGGCTGATGCAACTTCTCAAAAAAGTAAAACGAGTCAGTGCACTCACTCTCAATTTACGTATCAGTGCTGTAGCATCATATTGTATTCAACACATGTCAGGTGTACTCAAATGTTTTTTCTCAGAGGTTCCAGAAGATACTAGTTTAGAGACATTTTTGTGGTAAGAAATCAATGCATGAAACATGAAAGTAAATAAGAATTTTGACTGCGGGAATTCCTGACGGATGCCACTGGATGCTTTCACTTGTGATAACAAATCTCTATACTCTATTTTAAGGCTTGAGTTGAGTGTTTCGTTCCGTATTATTATTATATCCTTTAATTCCTAGAGGAAAAAAGGCTTCAGCTGCGCGATTTTCTGCCAACTTCTTCACCCCGCTCCAAGTCTGCCCACACGCTTTCATCTCCCTTCACATGACCTCCTCCAAGTCACCCTCACACTGACGGCCAACTCGCCGCTTCCCTTTCGGGTTCCACTCGAGCAATGGCTTGTCTAGTGATGTCACTCACTTGATGGTTTCCTCAGAGTATGGCCAGCCAATCTACCTACATTTCTTCCTGCCTATTTGTTGCACAATCGGTTCCTAGTTGGTTCGCTCATTACCAGAAATCCATGTTGCTGATCTTTTCTGGCCGGCCATCCGATCTTGAGTGGTAATGAGCGAAGATAACTGTTAATGAAGGTCTGAAGTTTGTTTGAGATGCTCTTTATGACGCGCCAAGTCTCTAATCCGTATGGTAGCACTGACTTCACGTTGGATTTGAAAATCCGGATCTTGTCTTAGATGCTGAGTGTTGTTGATCACCACACAGACTTAAGAGTAGTCAAAGCTTACCTTGCTTTCCCGATCCTCGCTTTGATATCCTCATCAATCCCGTCCACCTGTAGTTGAAATGATGCTTTCGAGGTAAGTAGGTAAAGGAGGTTGTCTCTTTCAGGTTGCTCCTATTTGTGCTGATTGTTGTCTGTTGTTATAATTGCTGCTGCTGTTGGCCAGGAATCTTCATCACCTCTGTTTTCTCTACGTTCACCCGAAGTCCTATCTTCTCTGGATGCTTCTTATGCCAGCTTGTTGCTTTTCACTTGCATATCTTCCAATTTGTGGGAAATCAGACATATATCATCGGTGAAGTCCAGATCCTCCAATTTTTTTGTGTGAGTCCATTTTATGCCTGTTTCCTCATTGCCTGTTGTCTGTCGCATTATCCAATCTACTGCAATCAGGAAAATCATTGGAGATAGTAGGGAGCCTTGCCTCACTCCTGTCCTTACTTCGAAGGATTCCGTAAGTTTCTCGTTATGGATTACTTGGCATGCAGCATTGTCGTACGACTGTTGGATGAGATGTATAAATGTCGATGGAGCCCCGTAGTAGCGAAGTAGTTGCCAAATGACCTCTCAATCGACGATGTCGAATGCCTTTTCAAAGTCGATGAAGTTCAGTGAGGTGGAGAGGTGACTGTCATTCCAAGCTTTGTTCAATAATGATTCGTAGAGTGGCGATTTGATCAATACATGATTTGTTTCTCCTGAATCCAGCCTGTTCTGGTCTAAGTTTTTCATCCAGATTGGCGTGTTTGATTCTCTCCAGGACGACGCGGCCTAGTATTTTGCTTGGAATGGACAGGAGCATAATTCCGCGCCAGTTTTTGGATTGACTTAAGTCATCTTTCTTTGGTAGTTTGAATAAGTATCCGTTCTTCCAATCCTCGGGTACCATGCCCTCTTTCCACACTTTCTGCAGTAATGGTGTCATCAAGCCCGCTGTTGTCTCTGAGTCCATTTTCAATACTTCTGCTGGGATTCCATGTGGTCCTGCTGCTTTTCCAGCTTTTAGCGTCTTGATTGCCTTCAGGACTTCTGATTTCGTCGGGGGGTCGATGTTCTGCTTCCGTTGTTGGTATTGTTGGGCGCGTTGTAGGTGGTGGTCGATTTAGAAGTCTTTTGAAGTGTTCAGCCCAGTGTTCTCTTTGCTCTACTTCTTTGGTGATTGACCTTCCATTGTCATCCCTTACTGGCTTAATCTGTGTCGTTCCGTATAGTATAGTATTTTTTTCAACAATAACTTCACAACTAGAAATGGGAAAAGATCGAGAGTCGAATATAACCTTCAGATAGAGAATTATGGTAAGTGTTTAACATCTGTAAATGTCTCTGTGTTTTAGACCCTGTTAAATGGTGAAGATATGGTTATTACACTCCCATTAGTTCTTGAGGCATTCATAGTTCTCTCGAGTTTGTTTTTTCTGGGTCCCATTTAGCCTCTACAGTACTGGGAAATTTAGAATCTCAGCGGCCATATTCGTCCACTTGAAACTCATGTGATTATCACAAACAGATCTCTTCACTTAATTAACTGGGATGAGCAACAATCTACACTATTTTGGTGCCATTTTGTTCATCTAGTCTGTTTTGCTTTTTTAGTTAAGATATATCTTTCATGGTTGGTGGTTCAGTGCTAAAAGGCTAGTTAGCTACACGCACACACAGTAGAAGTCTGACTCCCGACCGACGTACTCTTAAATCTCTTTTAGTTTACTAGCCGATAGTAAATAGCTTATACAATCATGAGGTGCTGAAATAGACTTGCTTCACTTACAAAAATGTTTACATTTTTATTTCCTATAGTTGGTTTGTAAGGATTAGTTTTGTTTTTACGAATTGATCACGGATTGATATCAGTTGGAGAACCATTAAAGACCAGGGAGTACTGGACATTCTAGCTCTTTGAGAGTCATCAGCAGTATGCACTCACTGGGTCTCGAACCCAGGACCCTATAGTTACATGGCAGACTCATATACTATTCAGCCACTGGGATCTAATTCAATGGCCAACTCATGAATTCTAACTTCTACCAATTCATGATTTAGCGCGACCCCAATCAGTGTCGTCGGTGGGACAACCATCCTCACACGTAACATCTGGATGAACCTCACTGGTCACGACTTCTCACTAAAACTTCAGGAAACTCCATCCTGTAGCAAGTCACTAGTAAGCATCAGATTAATTTTCTATAGTTGGTTTCTAAGGATTATTTTTTTTACGAGTTGATCACGGATTGATATCAGTTAGCGAACCATTGAAAACCAGTTTAAGATATCTGGTCAAATGACTAACTATCGTATCATGCAGCCTGTTGTATTCATAAATTTATTCGAGATTTCACAGCTAATGTTTTTTGTAACATGTCAGTAAAAATAAATAAATAAAGAAAGAAAACTGGAATATAAAAGTAGAGCATTAAAATATTGAGGTCAACAGTGTATTGATTTAAACTCATAGAAAGGATTTTCCGTCATCATTCATTATTGCAAACGTTATCTTCATAATCGAACTATAACATGTGAAATCTAAACAACTTTAGCAATTACTGGATGAAGTTTGAAATAGGCAATAAACATATTTTTTGCAGAACATATGAATTATTTATCTTAGGGAAAAGAATTACTCTGCTTTCAAAAAAGAACTGGGACTAATTCACTTTTTAAATATTTGTCTTGTAACCACTGTGTTCCGGATTTAAGTTGTTATGATTTGAGCGCAGTTATGTAGTATTATTGGCTTAAGTTGTAGTAAGCATACCAATGGTCACCTAAGAGACGAAAGCAAACGAAGAGCTCTGTAAGAACGTGCGTGCATTTCCAAAAAATAAGAATGAGCAAGCTGAGGCCTTACAACCTGCCAGTCTTTCTGTTTTCATTAATACGAAGTCTCAACGGTTGTTGTTCCTATTGAACCACAGAAATGATTCCCCAGTCTTTTCAATATTTATACAAGGAAATTCCAGTAATGGCTAAATGAATTGTGTGTAAGCCAGCTCTTATAGATGAACAAAAATTTATTGTTTTTCTTATTGATATGCCAGAAGAAAAATACTTACATGTTACATCACGGAATGAATCTTGTTTTGACTGGCTAGTGAAGAATTCATTTTTACAAAATTTTTGTAGACTAGAGTTCATCATATTCATGTAGGCGTATGAAGGACTAAAATGAAAAACAAAATAACTAATTTTACTCCTTACTTATTAGATTTCTTATTATTACAACACATACGGACAAGGTAAATAAGATGTATTATTAATTATTGAATTGAATTCTTGATTTTCCCGTCGATTGATTGGACCGAAGTGTTCGGTCTCAGGTTGACATGTCGGCTTCTTGTGCAGATGCTTCGACGATGTCTGGGGATTTGATTTGTATACAATTGGTGGATGGTGGCTAGCAGTGGAATCCAGGATGCGCATTTCGTCCTAATTGGGACTCGTCAGCTGGATGTACTTTCCCGACCCCTTAACAATCCTGGCCCTAGGGCTTAGGGACATATTATTATTATTTACTTAAGTCAGAAGTGAAATATGGTGCTTTAGCAGAGCATCTGCAATTCATCCTGTCCTCTGTAGCTGGCTCCCCGACTGCCCATAAGTTATCATCCTTTCCTTATTCCCCTTAGTTGACCCAACACTAGTGGTTTCCCGTTCAAGTTCCACTGAAGAGCTTGGCGAGAGATGTCACCTCAGCGTGTGTCCGATCGATCTCCATTTCTTTTGGAGTATTTGTTAGGCAATAGGTCATAGTTTAGTTCCTTTTCAGAGTTCTATATTACTAATCCAAACATGAGATTTGAAATGTAATAACTATATCTAACAAGCCTACTGGGTAAATCACTACTTGGACAGGACAATATACACATTTTCACAGCTTCGTTTCTATCAAGTACAAAAGAAATTTAGTGAAGACCCTAACTCAGCCAAAGAGTTAGTTAGAGCTATATGCTCAGAAGAAGTAATTGAAGATGAATTAAGCGTTGTATATGATACTTTGATCGAAAATAGCTATCCCGAAAAATTTATCAAGAGACACATGATGAAGAAAGCGGAAAAGGGCTACTCACTATCCGTAAACAAGAAGCCACTTTATATGCTACTACAATTCAAGGGCGATATACCAAGCGAGATAATTACGGGGAGATTAAGAAAATCAGTTCAAAGAACTTCTAATGCTGGCAAACTACACGTATTATTCTCCACACGACCGATGGTGATTCCTCGACTGAAAGATGAAGTACCTAGACTAGCCACTTCAAATTGTATCTACCAATTCAACTGAGCTGATGGTGGAGCGAGTTATATTGGCCGTTGCTCCAGGAACTTGATTTTTCGTGCTCGAGAACATCCCCCACTATGGCTAAGTAAAGGTGTATTTAATACCATTAACAGTTCGATATTGGACCATCTGGTGCAAACGGGCCACAAAGCCAGCGTGGAAGAATCCTTCTCTATAATCTACCGGGTGCCTAATAAATTACCGAAATCATCATCGAAACACCGCATGATACAAACAGCAGAGACTGTTGCGATTCGCTTCAAACAACCAGTGCTCTATGTTCAAAAGAAGCAAGTCCAGCTAGCCCCTACTACTACCCTGGCCAGCCTTCAGTAGAGACTATAAATTCATGAATTTGTAACATTACCTTTCCTAATGTTTCTATCATTCAGCTTATTTAATGTTAATGCTATTGAGCTGTAATCTATCAGTATTATTGATTCGATGTTATTTAAACAGCATTAGTGTTGTTCATAACACTAATTCATTCATTCACTAAAATGTATATATATAACTGTAGAGCCTGATGATGAAGGGGTTATCGAAAAGAGTATTCTTTGTTCAGTATTCATTCTTTTGAAAATTTTAATCGGCATTTTTAATCAGTTAAATCACTATTCTTGAATTGTTATTCCGAAAATTTCAAAAGACTCATCTGTTATCACTTAATATTAGCAAGAATGTTTCGCCCATTTCATTTCTAGGAACTTAGAGTTGAACAGTATCCTTGATGATCTTGATGTAAGCGATAAACAAGTAAGTGTATTGCACTTTCCAGTCTTTTAAGTCTTGTTTTATTGGGTACTCATCTGGATAGGCTCGAACACCATTTGTCTCTCTTCCCTTGTGCTGTTAACACGCAAATTTCCTGAGTCAACATATCAGTCATGCTAGCTAGATAAGTTCTAAACCCTTCTCCTCGAATAATGTTAACTTTTTATTTTATTCAAATATACAACTCATCACCAACTAACTGAGCCTTTCTAACTTACGTTTCGTTGTCAGTACTTAAAAGTTAGGTAGAATACTGATTCTTTGGGTAACTAGGCAATCTACGCTTAGTAAGGCTGATACAGGGTTACAAAACGAAAACATCACCAGTGCCTTAAAATAAGCAAGTAAGCTTAGATTAAAGACGAACAACGATGATGTCATCTGCCACATTTCTTTGATAATTCTGTTTTGTCAAGTGTTGGTTATGTACGGATTTTGTTTGATTGGTTGGAGGATTTCATCATCAGCTGACATCACTTAGAGAACCGTTAGAAAATCTGAGAGTACTAGATAGCTATTTTGTCCTGGTTTATGACTCTCCAGCAGTACTTACCCACCACAGGGGTTAAACTCAGGGCTTACAAGGCGACCTCGTAGACCATTGAGCCACTGGGACCCGATCCAATAGTCAGCCCATGAATTCTAACTTCTGCCACCTCATGACACAGCGCGACTGTTTCGCAATGTCTTCTTCGATGTATTACTGCCTACCCTTCAACCTGCTGCACCCTACTGGTCACGGCTTCCCATCAGAACCCCAGGTAACTACCTATCTGAAATAGGGCCAATCTCTAGTGAGCATCAGTTAAATTTTCAGGCATTGGTTTTGTAGGGATTTGTTTTAGTGGTTGGAGGGTTTCATCATAAGCTGGAAAGAGTCCCAAACTGGGACGAAACAGCTGTTCAGTACTCCCAGGCTTTCCAATGGTTCTCTAAATGATGTCAGCTCATCATGAAATCCTCCAACTATTCTGTTTTTTTTACTATCGTTTATATCATGCAAAAGGTAGCCTTCCATTCATGGTGTTCCATACCACTGATTGGTTGGTATGAGAAGCTGGTTACCACTCAAATAAGTAGTGCTTGACAGACAGATGGCAGTGACGTAAAATTTGGACAACTGTATCGTTTATTTTCGGATGAGTGCATCATCGGAGTACCCGCTTTTGAAATTTAACACAGAAATGCCCAAAGTGCAAATCGAGGAACACTTTGCAAGTTGCGAATTTGATCCAGGTGTCTTTTTAACCCAGTTGCACTGGAAATCATAATAGATGTTTCAAGAATAAATTTCCATTGTATTCAAGTTTTGGTTTCCTGGGATTTGATTGGTTACAAGATCTCGTCATGACATCGGTTAGAGAACCACTGGAAAACCTGGGAGTACTGGATAGCTGTTTCGTCGTAGTTTGACAGTCTTCATCAATATACGCCTACAGGGGTTTGAGTCCAGGACCTTTTGGTTACGAGACGAGCAGCTCGTAGACCTTTAAGCCACTGGGACTCGATCAAATAACCTATGAATCCCAAATTACACCGATGCACGATATAGCAGGACCACTAACCAATGTCATCGCTTGCGACTACTTTTCCTAACACCCAGTCCGCTGTTTGTAATTGCCTAAGATTAAGTTTTAATGCTTTATCGCAGGCAGTTTTACGGTTGATACTGACTATTAGCAGTAAAAATATCCTTGTATAGTGATGATAAGAATTTGACTGATTAACGATGCATCAGCAAACGTTTGATATTCACGTAATATGTAAATCTATTTTTGAATTTTAATTATTTTTCTCTGATAATATATATATCCTGAGAATCTTTTACTCCCATCATTTGATAATTCAACTATACGGAGAGTTTGAATGGAATCCTGTGGACTAGAATTACAAGAAAATTAACATGTGTCTGATACTTCAGCATATGCCTGTCTGGAACCTATTGCTGTTCTGACAATAAACAGTAATTTGGTAAGACAAAAACACAATGTAAACTTACTTATGTAGCAGGCATGTACGCGATGTTGTGTTGAAATCGCATACAGGATTATTAAATACTTGACATTTTCTATAGAACACGGGAAAATCATAAATCAAAACGAGATTAAATAATAAGGCAATAGTTCAATTATGCAGTCGATAAAATATCAAGAATTAAAAATAATTTACAAGAATTAGTTTGTAAGGATTAAATTTGTTTTTAAGAGTTTGACCATAGATTGATATCAGTTAGAGAACCATTGAAAACTAGAAGGGAGTATTGGATAGCTGTTTCATCCTAGCTCTTTAGGGATTAATCATTGGCAGTACACGCCCACTGAGGTCTGAACCCAGGTTGGTGGTCGTGCGAAATCACAAATTGGTAGAAGTTAGAATTCATGGGTTGGTCATTGAATCAGGTGCCAGTGGCTGAATGGTATACGAGCTTGCCTTGTGATCAGAAAGTTTTGGGTTCGAACCCTGATGGTGGGTGCGTACTGCCGATGACTCGCAAAGAGCTAGGATGAAACAACTATATATGGTACTCCCTGGTTTTCAGTGGTTCTCTAACTGATATCAATCCGAGGTCAAACTCGTAAATAAAAAATAATTTAAACATTGTTCCATTAATTCTTATTTATTACTAGGAAACTTTAAATTCTATATACGAAGGTTTTTTGTGATATCCTAGAACCAATTTCCCATAATTGTAGCGTTTTAATCACCCTACCCAACGGACAACAGCAAACGTTTGTCACCATCAACAGGAGAAATGGAATGGGTTTCGCCTCTTTCACTTTCCGTGGCAGCATTGTCACAACTACAGGTGCAAGGATATAGATGTTGGAGCTAGTCAAGATCGGCAGACCAAGATAGGCGTTGATTAGTCAAGTCAGTGGGGATATCTGCAACAACTAGCTCAAGGAACAAGATCCAAATGTTAAACACTAATGCCAAGTGAGTGCTCGTTATGTATGGTTATGAGACTTTGTTTATGCGTCATTAAAAGCATTTTCAATAGGCTGAAGACTTTTATCAGCAGGTGCTTCCGCTGCCTCAGTGCTTTAGATCAGAACGAAAATGAACAACAAGGAACTTTGGCAGTTAGGATTACTAGCCACTTTCCAAAAATTTTCAGGAGAAAGTGAAGATGGACTAGACAGACGGTGAGGAAACCGTTGAATGATATTTACATACCAGATCGTCTAGTGGAACACGAATGGGAAGTGACGGTTTTGGAATCCATTGCCGAAGTGGAGAAGAAACCTGGAATGCAGTCACGGAGCCAGTTGAAGTGATGGTGTGAAGGAGAAAAGATTGTTGGAGCTTGAAGGCAAAGTCAGTCAGGATGAACGCGTTGTACGAACATTAATGTGGTATACTGTGCGTCGGTGGCACAGTGGTTAGGACGCTCGCCTACCATGCACATGGTCTGGGGTTCAATCCCTGGCCGACGCACTCCTTTACTTCGCTAAGACAGAAAAAATGCTGGTAAAGAGGAAAGGTTGGGCATGAGACTAGCAATCACATCCTGTAAAATAGACACTGCTACAGAAACTTCAAACCTCTAACTTGAAGCTCTATGTCGCACTGGGAATGTGAAGGAAAAATTATTATTATTAATGTGGTATACCGTATCTTCAATGGTTTATTTGCACATCAATTGCAAATTGGTCGAATATCACCATATTCGATAGCTTGTTGGATTTTACACATTGTTGTAACGTACTTATCGCAGTACTCTTCTTCGACTGATGTTCTTAAAGCCCTAAAACATATTGCTACTTTCATGAATTCGTTTACTCATATACTACTTATATCTGATTATAGGTAGCACTTACCACTGTGTCAGTGAACCGAGTGGAATGAGGATGTAGTGCTGAAGTCATATATTCCAAATGGAAAGGAAGCTATGACATATATATATATATATATAATGAAGGATATAACTAGTACTGGTTTGTGTTTAATACGCACTACATGAAAAATTTCTGTAAGTGTGTACTTCCTCACTTCTCCAAAATATCAGATTAAATCATCACTACAAAAGCAGTTTACTTATACACAGATTCTATTTGTCAATGAAACTATAAGCACCATGAATTCAGTCAACGAAAACCAGAACTTGATATGATTATGAGCAATAGTTTGTGCTCGAAACGTCAACAGTTAATATTACTGTATAATTTTCAGGTATTGGATTTGTAGGGATTTTGTTTGATTGCATGGAGGATTTCATCATGAGCTGACATGAGTTAGAGAACTACTGAAAAACCACCTAGGAGTACTGGACAGCTGTTTCATCCTCCGTTATGACTCTCCGTCAGTACGCACCCAACACTGTGAGGTTCGAACCCAGGACCTTCCGGTTACAAGGCGAGCTAGCTCGTAGACCACTGAGTCACTGGGACTCGATCCAATGGCCCTTGAATTCTAACTTCTGCCGATTCACGACATAGCGCGACCATTTCACAATGTCTTCTTCGATGAGTCACTGCCTCATCTTCAACATTCTGTACCCTATTACTGTATAACACTGTGTAATTCATCAAAATGAAATCTTATCTATAATGGAGTTATACTTTACCACAGTGCTCAAGTTTTATACTTATATCAAGAATTAAGTAAAACGTACAACTACTCAATAAGTGCCTTCTTTTTTAACAAATATTTGAAAATATTGTGGATTTTTGATTTAAAATGGACACATATTCATCAGTTTAAAACTGCAACAGAATTCATTATCCTTTAGCAACTGTCCTGACTGTTTGCATAAAATCTAGGAATGTCTTTGATAACTAGTATTTTCTTACCTATATCCTATGAGAGCTAACATTTCCTGTCGAGAAAAGCTGATGGCTAAGCATGTGCAACAGATGTTTCGTAGTCATCTGTCAGTCGATTCATCTTCACAACCCTATCGACTGACTTTCCCTTCTTAACTCATTCTTTTTTATTCCTTTTAGTTCACGGTGGGACATAGGGCGCCTTCAAGCTAGAGGCTTGAAGTTTCTGTACCAGTGTTGATTATTTTAGCATGCTGGGGTTTCTATCCTCGTGCCCAACCACCTTCTCTCTTTACTACTAGTCTTACTACTGGTTTAGCGAAGTAAAGAAGTACTTCGACTGGGGATCGAACCCCGAACCACATGAGGCGTGGTTGGCGAGCACTCTATCGCTGTTCCACCGACGCCCTTACCTAATACTCAATGCATAAACTCAGTACTACTCACTTTATTAGTTCATGTAACAGATGAGATGTGCGTCGGTGGCACAGCGGTTAGGACTCTTGCCGATCATACACATGGTCTTGAGTTCGATCTTCTGCCGGTGCACACCTGATATCTGTGGTCGGCCTGTAAAATTTGGGCTACCGATATCACATGCTGAAAATTCCATATCTGTACCTAAAATACGGTGTTGAATCAAACTGTAATAAAAAAAATAATATTTAGTTAGTCAGTCAGTCAGCCATGGATTTTCATTCAGTTACAGTTCAGTGTTGAACACTAATCATCACGATTTAAATAGACGGTAAGGCGATTTATCAGTCATTTAACATATTCACTGATAAATGACTACTAAAAAATTAATATCTGGTCTTAATTATTGATGGAAATTTCGACGTGGCCATTATGGAGAGTAATGAAACACCGAAATGGAAGTATGGTGAAATAGTTAAGTAACATTAGTTGGAACCCGACAGGAAACGCTATTTATGTGAAATTTCTAGGCGCATGTGTTTATAATTTCTTAACGACTCTAATAACCATTTAGTGCACTTCACCTCAGTACGTATACAGAGGGCTAGTTTCGCATATTCCAGTTTACGCCGTCTCCGGCGTAGACGTGATATCCGGCTGGCCATCGACCAAAGGGCGGGTGTACTGCTCAGCAGTTCGCTCCGTCCTTCTTTATGGCTGCGAGGCGTGGCCATTGAGAGTAGAAGACATGAAAAGAATAGCTGTCTTCGATCATAGGTGCCTGCGTTCTATCTCCCGTGTAAAATGGTAGGTGTAATAAGGTGAGCAATATTGAGGTAAGGCATCGGTCGAGTGCTAGGCAAGGAGGGGAAATCAAACAACGAGGCTGTGAAATTACACCGACTGAGATGGTTAGGACATGTCTTACGTATGCCATCGATTGCCTTCCTCGACGGGCAGTGTTAGCTGACATAGGGTCAGGCTGGAAAAGAGCTAGCGGTGGTCAAACCAAAACATGGCTTTGTCAGTCAATGAAATATACAACAGTTAGTTTAAGCCAGCCACGTAGGAAGGTGTAGACTTCCTGATTGGTTGGGGTCCTCGGGACGGTAAGAACCAATGGTTGGAAACAATTGTTGACATGGCTCAAAATCGTTCTCAATGTCTGGCGAAGATGCATCCGCTCCTTGTGACTTATGATTTCCAATGAAACTCTATTGTTCTTCGTTATTACTATTCCTTTGTCTCACACCTCTGTTTACTATCGCTATTATGCATTTCTTCTACTTTCTTCTCTTACTTTGTGTGCTACATGGAGTGTGGGAACTTGAACTGCGGCACATCGGTGCAAAGTTTTATGTCAAAAACAGACAGACAGACAGCACTTCACCTTACCTGCATGAATAGTAAGCCTCACAAATGACTGATTTAGGATGAAAACTGATAATTTTTTTGCTTTGTAAAAATGTCTTCTGGTTAAAATCAAGGCTATTTGCCTGTTGTGATGCTTTCGTATAACCAACTGGTTGCACGTTCACAGATAATCTATCACTTGTAGTACATTTATGTATTGATATAATTGAATAATCACCGTCAGCAACAATTTGAAATTGATCCATAGTTTGAAATTTTTGATTTGTTCTCTTTCTGATAAAATAATTCTTTATGGCAAATTTATCCATGTTTGTTTCAGAGGTTATACTTTCACTGTGTACAATTTGTTTCTGTAAACTGATACCAGTTTTTATTGTTAAGATTTTTCTTTTATCTAAAATGCAAAATTATTCATTGATGATAAAAGGTAACAATTATGGCGAAGTTCAAGAATACCGTGCTAGGAGTGCCAACACTCAAATGACCTTGAACGCTTGCTAGTTGTTGGTTGAGGAAACTTACCATTATTCTAGTGCGAAAATGAACATTGTTCATCTACTCAGATGCAAAATTCACCCAGATCACGTACTTCAATACTGTCTAGATAGTGGATTAATTGGACGTTCTCGTATATGTACCTGTGGTGCTTCAATGAACCTGTACTGTAAGGGTGGAAGAAATGGTTCATTTACTAGTGCAAGGAAAGTTAGTTAGTTCATGCCTGACACTATTTTCATCGCATAAAGTACGTGTCAAATATGGTATAGTGGAATTTTTATACTTAGACGTACGTGCATAAAGTCTTCTAAAAAGACTTCTTTTACCTGAGGAGATACAAGGTTGAAGCTGCGGGTAGAGTGGGTGCTCACAGTCTGACAAAATTCCTTTAGCAAATATTTTGCATGACATCAAATGCCTATTGGTGACGATGTCAACGATATGTTCCAATGGAATACCACTTGCCTTACTGACAGTCTTCAGAATTCTACAAAGTATGATATAGCCTTTTTTAAGTAATCCAGGAAAGAATAAAGATGAAGAGTACAGGAAGGGACATTTGAAACCTTAAGTAAGATTCTTAAGGAAGCAGGAATTAAAGTGGCATTTTAAACCTACAAACCCACTCAGGCAGGACAGGTTCTGTAGGTTAAAGGACCTTACTGACGCAATTAGACGAAATAATGTAATCTATAAAATACTTTGCAATGACTATAAGGTCAGCTACATAGGTCAGACCAGTAGGTAGAGCATAGTTAGATTATTGAGACATAAAAATTTTTAGGAGTATAGGATGATTGCCCACTGAATAGTTTAGAGAAAAACTCGGCATTTGTAACGCATACCTTGACACACAATCATACAATAAGCGGCGAGGGGGGTAGAGCTACAATTCTGAAAAGTAAGATAAGTAGGTATAGGGAGATGTTAATTATTGAATCTTTGTTCATCGAGTCCACATGTAACGCATACAATTGGAATTACTTAACGGCAATACCACAGACATAGGAAATATTACTGGGAGTAAAATCAAAGGTTAAGAAATAATGAAATCATGTAGACGATATTGGAAAGTTCTGTGAGTACCTTAATACGATTATGAGCAAAAAATTGTACTTGAGACGTTATCAGTATATAATACTGCATCACTGTGGGTATTTATTAAATAAATTTACTCTATGGTGGAATATTCTGACTTGTTTTATAAAATTGTCACTTCAGAGAAAGTCTAAGAGAAAACTTTGCCAGAAGCCTTTGAGATAAAAAGCTGTCTCAAGAAATAAATTGGTGTAAGATAATTCTGGTCTCTATAATTTTCCTAGAAGCCACCACAAATGATAAACTTCTCTGAAAAGGATGCTGTGATATCGGTTTTAATTTAGCCAGATCGACAAATAAGAAACCAATCAGCACTACTTAAGAAATTTGAAGAATTCTAAAATGCTGTTCAAGCGCAGACTAATAGTCTTGAATTATACATAATTCATACTCTATGGTTTTAACATATTTTGATAAATTAACCACATCTGTCATACCTTAATTCTTAGCAGAATATTGATGGTAAGAAGTGCAAGTTATGAGATTTTCTGTGTACATGTGCTGGGTGAGAGTATCTCTTAGGGTATGACTTTTGTGTCACTTAAATGTGGTTATCAGGCTTAAATAGTGTGTAGAACAAGTGACCGAAACAAAAGTTTTGGTTACATAATTTTTCATACTAACAAATCACCATGGTCATGGTAAAATAACGCGTCAGAAATAAACTGATATCGTCAGGGCCATTTGCCTATGTAAAGGAAATATGAGAATTCCTGCAACACTGTAAATGCGAGAATTTTTTAATTCAAGAACTTTAGGGAAATATTATGACAGTTCTCAAGAAGCTCTTCGTCGTCCAGATTACCAACTTGTTGAGTTGAATCACCAGACTGGGTGAAGCGGAGTAGTAGTTAGATTGAAAATGATATAAATCCGGCATTTTTTGCTTTAGGCTTGGGAAATATGCTCTGAAGCAATGAGAAGTCAAAAGAGATATCCTGTAATCATTACCGTCTGACTTTCTCATTGCTTAAACAGTAGTTTTAACATCATTTCTCTTTTAAATAAGAAGCTACAAACCACTCAATTTGCATGTTAATCTGTATTCAGTGAGATGTTATAAGTGTGAAGTCTGGAACAATATGATTGTACAGTTTTTTGTTAGATGTTAAAAATGGAAACATTGTACATAACTTTTGTTTAAAACGATTCATTGTAAAATATACATAACTTTGGGGTACAATCTAAAATACAGTGTACTGATCGACGCTTCGTCTTCTTCTCACTGGTCTATATTGTCTACTTGCTTCCCTGCTTTGGATTCTGCAGGAACCCCTGATTCGAAGACTATTCTACAACCGTCGTACAGCTTCTACTAGCAGGCACAACTCAATTAGAGTACGCTTCTGTGGATTATGTAAGTAATTTGTATCGGTGGACTTTAACCGTATAACCAAGTAACCATTGATTTATATAACTCATTAACTGTATTCATTTATAATATAGTGTTACAATATCATTTCATTAACTTGGATTTTTAATCTAATATTTGTTCTGTTACCGAACTCACCATTAAATACCCTACATAAACACTACTGATATATATCGATTTTTCGAACAGTTGTAGAATTCTGAGATCCCCAAGAACAGACAATAATAATTGGTTTAACGTTCAAGTCATATGAAAAGCCATAAGTCATCCGAATTCGATAAGAATGTGGCCAGAAGTAAGACAGCTCAGAAATAAAAACAATGCCTTACAGTTTCGTATGTATTTGTAGATTGATACCACTGTAATCCAGTGGAAATTCCGTTACTCATTGTATTATCAGGGTGTTAAGCTGATAAATCCAAAGTAGGATTAAAAGCAAAGTCATTCACACCGCATATATCAGTTGATAAAATTGAAAGATTTTATAAAGCATGCAAACGTATCAATATATTTTGTATGTTTAAGGTTTCACTTTCGTTTCCTAAAATCATCCGTCATTATTTAAAGCATGATTATCACCAGTTAAACTACTTTCTTGAACACTTTAATGTCATGAATTAATAAAATCATCTTCCTGGAGAGAATAAAGGACGCACTGGATACACAACTCCGACCAGAACAAGCTGGACTCAGGAAAGGAAAATCATGTTCTGACCGAATCGCAACTCTACGCATCATCATCACTGAACACAGCATGGAATGGAAGTCAAACGTCTACCTCAACCTCATAGACTTTGAGAAGGCCTTTGACAGCATTGACCGTGAAGTAATTTGGAAACTACTCGAGTACTATGGCGTACTCCAAATATTCATCAACCTAATTCAACAGTTGTACGACAACGGCACATGTCAAGTGATTCACAACGGAAAACTCAGCGAGGCGTTTGGAGTAAACACAGGAGTCAGACAAGGGTGCTTATTATCACCAACGATGATATTACTAATTGTGGTGGACTGACTGGATTATGCGTCAGACAGTGAGTGGGAAACGAGAAACGGGACAGGGATATCCTGGACCGACGTGAAGAACCGAGAAGACCTGGATTTCGCGTGTGGATGATTTATGCTTGATGTCACTGTCACAAAATCGAAGACTTACAAGCGAAAACCGACTGACAAACTGGTCGAAGAAGCAGGTGGTAGAGACAGGACTCCAAGTGAACTTAGACAAGACGGAGGTTATGAAAACAACAAACCAACCAACCAACCAACAACAACAACAGCAACATCCAGCGCCAATCACCATCAACGGAAGGGATTTGAAAGAGGTTCCTTCATTCACTTCACTTATCTAAGGAGCACCGTCTCAATTACAGGAAGTCGGAATGGACGAAGATGTCAAATCGAGCGAGAATATGGAAGGCAGGCAAGGAACACATTCATCAACCAACTGAAACTAATCTGGAAATCTTCGTCACTCAGCCAGAATCAACAACAATATTCCGTCGGATTTTCAATACAAACAACGTCAAGTCAGTCAGTTTTTCTATACGGATCGATCAGAAACTTGACGGGCGGGCGGGTCACAAAGAATATTTCCAACAGCCTGTTGCAGACCAGACCTTTATCAACCAACAGCTGTCTCCGATGGATCTATACTGAAGATCAGATGGCTGGGCCGGGCCGGAAAGAATCACCAACAAGAAGAAACTATGGCTGGGAACAAACAAAACAAGAACCAATCGCCAACCAACAAATATGCAGGAGAAAGTGTAGGTGGAATGGATGGACACTCGCTGAGGAGATCGCTGGGTGACATCACGTGCGAGTCAGGCCATCGCTCGAGTGGAACCAGGCCGAAAGGGAATCGGTAAGTGGGTCGTCAGTGCAAGGGTGACATGGAGGAGATCGTGTGAAGAGAGAGGAGTTGAGACAGTATGGACCAACATGGATTCAGGTGGAAAGTACAGCAGAAGGAAGACAGAAGGAAGTGGAGACGTGCAGTTGAAGCCCTATGTTCCACTAGGAGCCCAAGGGAATAATAATAATAATAATAATAATAATAATAATAATGGGAAACACTTTTAGTTATACACTAAGAAACGAATAACTTACTTGTAGCTACATAAATAATATCGCTACTATCGTCGTCTTTATGTAAGTTTTTATCCCATTGTACTGTAAAATGTATTGGAGATTCATTAGATACATTTTCATCTATATTACTAAGGGTGAAAATTTGCAATGCTTGTCCAGGTTTTTGTTTAAAATAGCTATGATCAAGCTGTTCAACTGTTTGATTCTCTGACACGTCTATAGAATTCAAAGCCCAAACAGTTGTACCAACTAATGGATGTAGTGTTGCAAATTGAGAATAGTAATCAGATAATGGTTGTGATGGACATATCTTCAAATAGAAAAAAAATTTAAGAACAACAAAAAATAAATTATGAGATTTAAGTAAAATTTAGACAAAATGGCGATATATGTAATTCCATATGTAATTCTCCTTGTCAGTGGTTGAGCGATAGAGTGCTTGGCAAACACACTCTTGGGGCCCTGAGATTGATTCCTGGTCGACGCGCTTCTAAGCCTCACTTAGCACGTAGCCAGTCGCGATAGGACGGGAGGTTGGACATGAGGCTAGTGAACTCACCTTATAATCGTCTCTATTATTCTGAGTCAGAATTGCTCAAATTTACTCCACATTTCGCATAACTTTTTTAAAAATTTTCTTCGAATTTCGTCTTTCAAACAGATTTTACTAGCAATCGAACTAAATATTATCCATTTTGGAACTAAACATGTAGTTACAAATGTTCAAGACATCAAATATTAAAAACATATATTTTAATAATGCCTAATGACATTGCTCATATGTGATCAATGAAATTACCCAGGGTCGATGAATCACTTTTGATACTAGTATAATCAGTATATGCATTTTCGATATCAATTCATACTCCACTCAAATGGACAAGTGAAGTCAGTATCTTTTTTTTTTGATTTACAGCTTGATTCCACACTGCATTTTTGGTACAAGCATGGAATTTTCAGCATGGATATCGGTAGCCCAAATTTTGCAGGCCGACCATAGATATCAGGTGTGCTCCGGCGTGGGCTCGAACCCCGGACCATGTGCATGGTCGGCGAGAGTCCTAACCGCTGTGCCACCGACGCACAGAGAATATTTAAGGTACGCTGTAGTTGAATAACCTGGTATGTGTGAAATGACGGCTCAATGAAAACCTAATTTTTTCAGAAATAAAACTGAAAATCGACTCACGGCTAAGTTTGATTTGTGGGTGGTGACTAGCAGTGAAGTCCAGGATAACGCACATTTCGTCCTATTTGGGACTCGTCAGACACTGAATGTACCTGCATTTCACAGTGAGTGATGATGTTTCCACCGAGACTCGAAGCCAGTGCCCATAGTTTCAAACGTCAAAGTGTTATCCACTAGACCACTTAAGCCACAACAGCCATCTCTTGTGCAACGGGTCATATTAATTTAAGAGGCCGACATGTCAACCTGAAACTGAGTACTTCGTTCCAATCAGTTGACGTAAATATCTAAGTTGAATTATATAATTAGTGAGACCCGTTGTATAAGAGGTGGCTGTTGTGGCCCAAGTAGTCTAGTGGATAACGCTTTGGCGTTTGAAACTATGGGCACTGGCTTCGAGCCTAGGTGGGAACATCATCATTCACTGGGAAATGCAGGTACACCCGGATGACGAGCCCCAAGTAGGACATGAAATAAAATTTGTGAAGTACGCTGATGATTTAACGGTTTCAATGGCTGTTAACTCCCAGCTAGATTTTACCAAAATAAATAGCTTTCTGTCGGGAGTCAGTAAATGGTCTGAGTCTAACGGTCTTAAACTGAATCCTTCTAAATGTCAAACTGTTAATTTCAGCTTAAGATGTAAACGACAGTTAAAAGAAGTCATCGATTCTCATGACAGTTGCAAAATTGACGACAATGATTTAGGAATCAAATCAGAAATTAAGTATCTTGGACTCATTCTCTCTTCTGATCTCTCCTGGTCTTCCCATGTCTTAGCAATCTCCAGTAAAATATTCTGCCTGACATTTTACATTAAGAGGTTAAGACACTCGGGTATAACTCAACCCCTCATCTAACAGTTTGTCAACTCTTGCATCCTACCTATTCTTCTTTATTGTTCACTCTTATTCTTTCCTGGCCTGCTTAAAAAGGACTATGTCACAATTCGTAGAATGCTGAAGACTGTCAGTAGGGTGAGTGGTGCCCAGTGGACCACATAGTTAATGTCGTTGTCGATAGGCACTTGACTTCGTGCAATAAATTTGCTAAAGGGATTTTGTCTGACTTGGAGCATCCACTTTACCCTCAGCTTTCACCTTGCATCTCCTCAGGTAGAACAAGGAGTAACTTCAGAAAACTGTATGCTCGCACGTCTAAGTTTAAAAATTCTATGATACCATACTTGGCACGTATTTTATATGATGAAAATAGTGTCAGACAAGAATTAACTAACCTTTTTTCTTCTAGTAAATAAACAATTTCCTCCATCCATCCTTATATACCATCAAGTTTTACTTTTATTATTTCTGTTATATTTATGGTCCTGTTACTTATCTGTTTTTTTTTACTCTCATAATTGAAAACACTAACTTATCTCCATGACGACTGTAATCTTTGTTTTTCCACTCACCATATCATGTAAAGAGAACCTCATATTCAATAATTTTTAAACAAGCTAGGATTTCTATACCGCATTGACAATATTGTGTGAAACAAGCCCACGGTAATTTTGACTTGTATTATTATTACCTTAGCTGTTATCATTATTATTTCCATTTTATATGCTGCATGTTTTTGACATTATCCCTATTGTAAATGTGGAAAATTTTCTGTGTGATTAATTTTTATTCATAATTTGAGGAAATTAGATGCAATATTGTGATTAATGCTGAAAATTCCATTCCTTATCACAATTACTGTTTTTGGAGTAAAGTAAATTATTATTATCATTCACTGGGAAATGCACGTACATCCAACTAACGAGTCCCAAACAGGACGAAATGCGCATCCTGGATTCCACTGCTAGTCACCATTCACAAATTAAATTCTAATTAAATGCCCAGACATCGTCGAAGCATGTGCACAAGAAGCCGACATATCAACTTGAGACCGAGCACTTCGGTCCAATCAATCGACGGGAAAATCTAAAATTCAATTAAATCACAGCTAAGTTGTTTTACCAATATAATGCAATCTTAGTAATCCAGAGATTCATGCTTTCACAAACCTTCGTGTGTTGCACCATTACTACAAAACATATCAGTCAAACGGAAGATACCTTGGAAGCTCTTAGCTTTGAAATTATGCAAGATATTAGAATATTTGTTTGCACAAGACGGTGATTCTTTTACTTTAGCTGTTAGAGTCAGTGACTTCGCAGTCTATAATTCCATTTCAGCCATTCAAACAAAAATAGTAATATCTGACACGTTTTTCACTTTTATCTTTCCAAAAGCATCTTGTCTCATGTGTAGTAAAATGGAGTTTATTTTTACAACTCATTATCTAGAGGATATAACTTCATGTTGTTTTATCAGCTATCCGAATTAAATAGCTTTGGAGACATTATTTGATGCATATAAATGCTCACTTATAGATATCAGAGAGAAAACACTTCATGGAAAATCATAACTTTATAATAGTGGGACTGTAAACATATACTGCCCAGGATATATAGGAAATTTTTTATGAATGTCTTTGTGATTCCTGCTCGATGTTCCAACTGGTCTACAAATTTCACTGATAGAATTCAGTCTGCACCGACACTAAGGACTAGAGGCATGACATCGGTGAAGCCCTAGCGATCAATCAGTGTATTGATTACAGTCCTACAGAACTTCAGTCGTCAGCCGGAATAGCCCAGTGGTTACGCCACTAACAGCAGTGTACAGAGTGGTGGGGATTCGTATTTTAGAAGGGAGATGAGTCTCTTAAAGACTGCAAATGTAGCTTGCTGCCGCATGCCAAGACGCATGAAACCTAGGTTAAGGGCTGGCTGGCTAGCCGTAGTACTGTATTGGATAAAACTGAGGCTTTCAAAGCGTTGCTGAGTTTAAACCTCATAATGTCGTCGATTCTTGTTGTCCATGAATAATCCTCATCCAGGCAATAATGAAAACAAAACACGTAGTTCAGCGAAGAGTCTCTTTTCAGTGAATTCATTTTCATAGCTGTACAATCGCAAATATATCTGGTCGTTTTGTATGTGTGTACATTAAGTTTGTCAAACAAAAATACAATTGGTTATGGTTATTTTAAATAAACAGGTGAAAATTGGTTGTTGGAGTAACGTAATACAAAATCAGTCAAGAAAGTTAGGTGTTAATGAAATAAGGGTAGTAACAAAGATGATGAGTTGTCATAAACAGTTGTTAAAAAAAGAAGTTATGTAATAATATAAATAGTTTGAAGATTGAGTTTTACTCAGGATGCACACAGGAACAAAGTAGAAAATATGAAATTATGTGAGAGTTCTAAATGAATACAAGAATTATAAGCAATTAAAGAACAGGCGAACAAACAAAATTAAGTCATCAAAATCAACAAAGTTGTTATCATGACAGTAGAAGTGGTTGAGTAATCTTCTTTTGTATGCACAGCTCCGGTTTTTCTATGTGAATGGTCAGAGCTTCAGCGATACAAAGAAGACGAAACCATATTGCCTTTGATAGGTTATTCTTGACTCTGTAGATTACTTTGAAGGAACCGTTTGTTGATATGGAATGATAAGCGTTAACCAGGTGTTCAATTATCGCACTCCTTATTGCACCACTATTGCCTTTTCACAACCATGCTAGATAGTGTTCCTGAATCCTCTTGGACAGGGTGCGCGTTGAACGACCGATGTACCTGGCTCCACAGCAGCAGGTGAACTGATATATGCACATAGAAGTGGCCAGATGCAGGATCTTATCCTTGAGGCTTCTGCAGATCAGTTGGCGACTGGAGAACACTATTCTTAGTGTTGCTGCAAGGAATGTTCTCCTCAGAGATGATGTTATCCTTCTCTTGAAAATATCACTTGCTAAGTCCCCCTTGAAATCCAAGTTCATGTAGAGTTTCTTTTTAGGCGCGATTAAAGTTTCGTTTCTCCGAATTATTGGTTTGATATTTTTGTCGATGAATCTTATTGGGTATACATTTTGGGTGAAGATTTGAGTACTAGAATGTACTTCGCCTTGATGTGAACCGTGATATTTCGGAACTGATAGGTATTAGACTTTAGGTGAAATGGATTGAAATAGACTGTTACTTTCTCGTCTAAAGTTTTGAATAACTGTAATGTCATGCGTCGGTGGCACAGTGGTTAGGACTCTCGCCGACCATGCACATGGTCC